TCCATAACTTCCAATTCATCCCCCGATTTGGTGCCATCAGGATAAACGTCGGAGGAGGAAGAGGAATCATCACCATTAACTTCCGCCGGAATAGGGACAACTTGCAGCACATCGTTGGGGTTTTCCTCTGGGATTGCAGCGCCGGAGGTAGAGGGTTCAGATGAACGAAGGGGTGCCATTCTCACCGAACGAGGGAACTAAACAGTAGAAGGGAGTTCGAAGGATACCTGAACGGAAGCAGCAGGTGAAGCTCTAGAGAGAAGGCAGAGTACTAAGTCGGAGATATCAAATTTCGAAACCCAGAATCAAAACCAAGAGAGCCTACTTATACTCTGTCACGCCGAATCAACCACCAACCAGAAAGAGACACGTATCCAGTTATAATGACAGAGACACGTGTCGCGCAGAGAATCCTTCTCAAGTAATCATGACGTTTATCGGAGAAGCGAAACGGCAGTTGCTAATAACCGTCAAAATATACCTCGGGAACTGGCGGAATGCCATCCGATACTCACCCGAACAGCATTCGGGCAATAATCTTCTACTTCCTTATGCACTCACTACCGTTCGAGACATAGGAAGTGGGGGACTAGTGTTGGGATATTAGGTCCAGACCCAATATCCCTAGGCCCAAATCCGGGAAGAAGCAGCGGGCCCAAGGCAGTCCAAAGAACTCCCGAACGGCATTCGGGATAAAACTTATACTTGGAACATTCCGGGAAACAATTATGCCAAAGTACCAAGGCCCAGATACCGATCGGCGTTCGGGATACTTCCATAACAAAATAACACCTATGGAGGGGTCCCACACACCGAACACCTTGCCCGAACGGACGGTCAGCAAGTGGAGGCCGCATTTAATGCTGGATCATGGCAGCTGCAAGTGGGGGCATGAGTGCTTACATGGCAGAGGTGACAGCCTACCAGATTCGGCCACGTGTCCACCTTACCCATCCCCATTTTAGTATAAATACCCATGTTTAGATCATTGTAAGGGGTTAGCATTTTAATACTCAGAGCTTAGCAATAGATTTACATCTTCCATCCTTGTAATCTCATACTCATCTACCGTTCGGGTAGCTTCAGTGTAATAGCATAATTACGGAATACAAGTGAGCTCTTGAGTTGAATATTATCTCACTATTTTATATTTTATACACTTTTCAACCCAATCCAATATCCCTACAATATCCAAAGCTAGTGTTGGGCTTTCGGATCTTCGGGAATAAACTTCAACAATTGTAAAACAAAAATTTACTACGTATTATTAGATATACCCCGTGCATCGCACGGGTACTTCGTCTAGTATAATAATAAAGATCATTGTCCAAAGTTGGTTCATAATCATTGATCAAGAAAAGTTAATATGACGAACCTTTTCGGAGCGGAGGTAGTAAAAGTTTTTAACTTCTTTTGTAATTATATTTGAAAATCGGATACATGTATCAACTTTTTTATAAAGGAAATACACAAAAATTAAATAATAAAAGTATTAAAAGGTAAAAACTAAAAAAATGTGGGTTTTTTACGAGAATATTATTAAAATAAAACTTATTTACATAAATATGACTATTTATTACTACAACGTAGTGCTGTGGTAACTAAAGTTCAAAACTTGAACATGAATTACTATGATTTCATTACTACTCTAGTAATGAATCATATTTTTGTAAACCATCTTTATTTTGGTCATATTTACGTAATTATTTCAAAAAATGTTCTAAATTCGCTTATCCCTAATTCGTTGTTAGAGAATTGCAAAAAGTCATATTGATGCACCTATAATCTATTCTACTGATCTATTCGCAATTTTTTTATCTTTTATATTCATTACTTTAAATTATTCCAACAACTAAGCATTTGTTTAAGGCTAAAGGGTCAAATAGGTACATGAACTAACTTAAAGTGTTCAATTAGCCCCTTATATAGGAGGTTCTGCCCGGCCGTCACCAATTGGGGCGGTTCCCGGTGGAATTTGTTGATGAATTTTTTTGAGCATCTTCTTCATTAAGTCTAGTTTACCCATATCAAATTTCAGCTAAAAATTAAACCGGGAAGGCAGTCAAATGATTTTCTGAAATGTACTGCGTTGTTTAACTGCACAGTTATCTTCAAAAAATCATTTCACTGCCTTCCCGGTTGAATTTTTAGCTGCAATTTGGTATGGGTAAACTAGACTTAATGAAAAAGATGCTCAAAAAAATATGTACACGTCATAACATATTAAATATATGTACACTATTAGTATAAATATTATGTGAATAATAAAATATTATTGTACACGTCATAACATATTAAATATATGTTATGACGTGTACACTTAACGTTATGACGTGTACACTTCATTATGTTATAAATATTAAATAATAACAAAAAAATATGGAGAAAATATTAGCTTACAATGACACTTTCTGAAATAGTGTTACTAATAGCAATCATGCATATGTACACGTCATTGACTTGTTATACAATGACATCAAAATATATAGTTGCATTGAATAAGGTATTACAGAGTACAATTTAATTTTGATTTTTTCATGGAAACTTTTATACAAGAACAAAAACATTCAACTCCCTCCACCAATATTTGGTTTCCTCGTGTCCGAACTCATAAAAAAACCCTAATGTGAAGATGAATTCACCCAAATTTTACTCTAACCCTAATAATCTCTTCCCTAAAGTTCTAAATTCATATCTTGCATATAAGTGTCTCTTCTTAGCTTCATCGTTTTTTCTTTGATGCCTTAATCTATTTCTTGTTCAAGCAAGAAGGGATTGCAGGCCAGGAAACGGGACACTAGTGAACTGGCTGAGCTAGAGGCACATGTTTGTGGTCAAATACGTATATACAATTTCTAATGTTTAGCTATTGCCGATTAGTGTCACTGTATCACTGACACTGCCTCTGAGTGGATCATTGAAGGATTCTGCCATAGATTGTCTTGTATGTTGTTTCGATATGAATATAAAAAGCCGCACTTTAACGTTCAAAAGAAAAACTTTTCTCAATTTTTAACTAGTTTAAACTAAAAATTAACAAATCAATAAAGGCAAAATTTATAAAAATAATCCATACTTTCAGGGATTCTACAATAATAATTCATACTAAGAGTGTGCATATGAATAATCCGAACTAGCATTGGTGTTCAAATTAATGCTTGTTTAATATTCTCTGCCCCTACTTCCACTTTTCTCTTCCTTGCTCTTCTTCTCGGAGTGAATTCAAACCAAAACCCGTTTAATCTAAAAATAGTTTTTTGGAATATTGTACTTAATCGCCTAAAATTGCCCCAGTCCTCTAACTAGGACAACATAGCTGGTCTATTGCAAGTTCTATTGAGAGAGTTCAATTGCACTCCAAATCTATTATTTCGTAGACTTGATGGGTTAATCTTGTTCTTATATTCTTTTATACAAGTGTGCACTCTGCACTGTCTAACTTGTATGAGATCTTTGTTTCAATTGGCAATCATGTCATTTTCAATTACATTAAATGGCCGGTAACACTTAAACAACCAACAATCATCCCTCATTTTAGTGTAACCAATGAAATAACATAATAAAGTTTTCATGTTAGTATTTTACACACTACAAATATTCGAGAGTCGGGGTATCCAGAGGATTTAATTAGTACTCATATGAATACTCTCAGTAGGATTATTGCTGTGAATTCCACCATCACTAAATCATTTTTCTTAAGTTGTCCATCTAAATATAACAAGTGTACCATGCATATTCCACTGTGAAAACAAGTTGAAATGCTTTCATAATTCTGTTGCAAATTAGCATATTTTTTATTCTACTAGAGACAAGTTGAAGTACTTTATGATCTCTGATGCAAATTCAGGTAATCTTTACTCTATCGGGGGCAAATTCAAGTACGATATTGACATTTTACTCTAAAACGAATTGACATTAATACTTTACTTGTGATACTAAATTTAGCATCACAATTTCAGATTTTGTGACATAAGTTTAGTGTCATTAAAAGTCTCATCGACACTAATTCAATGTCACTATAGATCATTTTTGTAGTAGTGACGGGCAAACAATCACTATAATTAAATCTTTTAAAAATATTCTCACCTATGTCCAAGGATTACATATGTCTCACCTATGTCCATGAAAAACTTTGATGATAACAATTTTTAATTCATCAATCTGATTTTGATCAATTTCAAAAATCAACATGCCATCAACATAAAGATATAAACACACCCCGCACTTATCACATTGGTTTAAGCCAAAACCATTAGATAAAACAATTTCATCAAATTTTTTACATTGTTTGAGTGCTTACTTCAACCCACACAATGATTTAATAAGTTTTCATACTTTATTTCATGTAACTTCCTCTTAAATATCACCATCTAGAAACATTGTTTTTACATCCATATGATTTATAATCACCAAAACACTTGATATCCTAAATTGAGAATCTTTATAAGTAATTCCTATGAAGAATTATTTATATGGACAAGGAGGAGCCGCAATCGTCTGCCAGTGGCTAGAGTTGGGGTGAAAAATTGGAAGTCTAGACTCCATGCAAGAGGGGAGAGGAAAGAAGGAGAAGAAAGACAAGAGAAAAGAACGGGAGGGGGTGCTGGTGCAGTGATGCGTGATGCAAGTTCATTTGCATTGAAAATTTGAAACTTTGAAAGAGGCTATTTGCAAAAAGAAAAAGTACCGAGTATCACTCGCAACTAGACTTGGCCCGGGTCCGATCCGACCGGCCCGGGAAACAGACCGGTCCGCCACTGTGCAGGCCCGGCCCGGTAAACCGGTACTGGGCCTAGGCCCGACCCGGGGGGTTTATGGGGACGGGTCCAGGACTTGATATTCGGGGAACAGCCTGGCCGGTCCGGGCTTTTTTTTTTGTTTTTGTTTTTTGGGGTTTGGGCTGGGTTTAGGTAGGCTGGGCTGCGTGTTTTTGCGGGGTTTGGGGGGTGGGGGTTGGAATAAATAAGATAAACTAGAAAAAGAAATTAAAAGAACCGGACCGGGCCCAGTCCATCCCTACTCACAACCCAAGAAATGAGTGACTGAAACTGTAATTTTTTCTTTCCTCACATCACGTCATGGACTCATGTATTGTTCTTTTATATTCAAAGAGTAAATTCTACAGATTAGTAACAAATGGGTTAGAAAAATTGAAACGCAGTAATTTACAGCCGAGATCCTTATTCTTTTACAGAATGCCAGGTGGAAGTCAAATTCTGTGTACTTCCAGGGGTAAAATCAACTCTTCATAATCATCAACCGTCACCTGTAAATTTTAGCCATTGTAACTACTTCTCAACGAATTCACAACACATTCTGTAGTTGAGAAAATTAACATGAAGACCGGCATATGTTACCTCAAATTTATGGCATCCTAACGTATACTCCACATACAATTGCTTAGCTTCTCCAGGACATATATCACAGAAGCCCATTATTCCAGATTTCTTCACGCCCTCATGCAGCTACATACATAGAAACAATATTTTGAGTTTAGAGTGCAGCTCTGGTGCGGTATCATTAGTCCTAAGTGTCTATCGAAATTAAGGAGAAAATTATCGTATAGTGTGATTTTCCGACCGAATCCTTAGTAAATTCAACAAAAAGAATACCTTACACCCTCCCAACTTTTTTCGTTATTAACTAATTTAGTGCCGAAAGAAAAATAAAGACAGATGAATTAGTGTTTTGCAAGAAGTGTCTTGTAAAGCCAGTAAGCAAAAAAAAGTTGTTAACAAGCAAGCTGCCACTAAATTCATTCATCCTGTGTACTAACAGCAGAGAAATTACGACATCCATTTCACCAAAATTTTGCTATCACAAAACAGCAGCAAGGTCAACATATGAAAGCTGCAGTACTAACAGAGAGATGACAAGCCACCAAGTTTTCCTGATTTTGCCAGAGAATAGATGCAGAACTATACCAAGGAAAGTCCTTAAGGATCCTGTACGGCAGTATTAATACAAGATAGAGCGGTTAGCAGAAGGAAAATACCTTTAGTTGTCCTGAATCGTTCACCAAGAAATTCAAAGGCAGGGTAACATCAAAGATTTTCAAACTAACTTCATCACTTTCTGCACTTTTTTCAGTTCGGTCCTTCAGTGCTTCACGGCTCCCGTACATTGCCTTTGTCACAACAAGTCCGCCAGTTTCTTCCTGGCGCTTTCTTTTTCTATTTGTGACATTCTCCAATAGTTGCTGGGCTTTCACAGCTGCTGCTCTTGCCTCTCGAACCTGCATAGTTTTTTTACAAGGGGTAAATAGGACACTCCAGAATTTTATAGATAGGGGTAAAATGTGAATGACAAGTGTGGAAAATGTGATTACATGAGCGAGAGTTTTTTCACCACTCTCCAATGCCTTTTGCTTTTCCCGTTTGAGAAAATAAGGTTTCAAAACATATGTCTGCAAACATTAAAAAAAGCATATTAATATGTTAGTGGGGTTGCTGCTTCATGGCAACGGGTGAGAGTGTGAGACAGATTTTGGTACAAAGTTATGAATAGGTCATTGGCCCCAACAAGCCAACACTTATTATAAAGAGCTTAATCCATTAATACTTAGCTAGCTAGTATGAGGACACTTTTCAACAAGAGTCACAAGTGAGAAGGACTTCGCTTTCATAGAAAGCACCATTTAACTAATAGTCAAGACAATGTTAAGAATAATTCTAGCTGTACATTTTTTGTGAACATTTTTGTGCAAATTCTAGCTGTACATTTTTTGTGCAAATAATTGATTAGATGGTGAAAAGTAAGATAACTTATTAGTTTTACCACCCGATCAACCTGTTCCATTTATGAATGTAGCTAATAAATGTAGGGAAAAATTGTACATGCATCCTTGCTCCAAAGATAACCTCCCAAATGCTTGGTAACAAATTGAATCTTAGGTCAGAAGAGTTAACAAAACTAAATGGACTAGAACATTCCAAATTCCACAATTATGATCTTAAACTTAACCTTGACGGAAAAACTAGTCATTCTTACGAAAAACAGGTGGGATGCCAAATTGCCAACTCGGGGTGGGCTGTGGGCATATCGATTTTGGTTCGGTTTTTATTGGTTTTTGGTGGTTCGGTTTGGAACGGATTGGAATAAAAATTACCAAACAAAAACCATACTATTTTCCGGTTTGGTTTGGATTTGTTATTTTTTAATAACATATGAAGGTTTTATTGAATTTCTTTGGTTCGGATCAGTTTTATTCGATTTTTCTTGGTTTAATATGGTTTGGAAGAATACTGTCAAACTTAAACCAAATTGCATACGGTTCGGTTTAGTTCGGTTTGGTTAAAGCAAGCCGATATGCCCACCCCTAATGCCAGCCCCAGCACTTTAATCAAATGTGATCTATAAATGCAAATTATAAACCCACAAACCTCAAGAAGAAAGTACAATGATGTTGGAACAAAGAAGGCGCTAGTTGCAAACATAAGGTTCAACTGCCTCGAAATCAGTATCTGCGCTTAACAAAAAGAAAAACTCGCAATTCAACCCTCCACTGGAAGTTGTGGTTCATTCTAGGGTTTCAAACTTTCAATTATATTAATGCACAAAACCATATAGGACAGGTAAAAAAAATTAAAAACAAGCTTCAGTTAAGACTCAGTACAAGAGTGGACTTACTGGAACAATTAGCCTTTGCTCTCCACGATGCAATTCAAATTTCCAGAAGATGCCCTAAAAGGAGTGCCGATAGAGAACAAAGTAAAGCTAGACAAATATCTGAGTAAACATAACGCCTATGGATTTTGTAGCATTCCAGATCTATTTGATGAAACCATCCAAGTGAAAATAATTTTATGGGACTTGGTATGCCATCTTAAAAGGTCAATCTTACAAGCAATGAGCAATTCAAGATCTAATACGGTGGTTTACATTTTGATGTTTTATTGGTGCAGTGTGTGGATGGCTTAGCAAGAATGACCCAATGTCCGCACCCTTCACAAAGTCTAGAATCTCCCTCTTTCTATAGATCCCTTTGGAGATCAGATATATTTTTATTTAAGAAATGTTTTTATTTTCTACTCAAAGAAAAAGTAATGTTCGTAATTTCTTTTTGGGTGGGAAGAGGGGTACTTATATTTTGTGCACATACAACTTTGAACTTTCAATACCTGAATTCCTATTGTATAAAGCATTCTGATTGTGCTGAACTCTGATACTTTTCTCCCAGCACCCACTTCTAATTCAAGTGCATTGCTATAACAAAAATGAAAAAAATATTAAAGAAAGAAATGTTGCAGCGAGAAAATGTTTTGCATAGTCGGGGGGGGGGGGGGGGGGGATAAAAGGGGGGAAACAGGGAGCAAAATAGTTGGGAAAATAAGAATGGAAGAAAAATTGACGGAAAATGAAGGATAGACACCGTACTCAATAAATATATTTTAGATATTTGTTCAAAATCTTTTCAATATTCTATTATATAAAGACTGGGAAATCTAGAAATATGAAGAATAAAATCAAAATATTAATCATATTTTATTTTACTTTGGATTTTCCAAGGTAGCCAAACATAAGAAAATAACATTCGTGTGTTTTTTGCCACTCCCCATAGCCATTCACATTTTCCAAGGTTGTACTGATAACTAGAAGAGAAAACAGAAGTCTTTGTGATTTAGAAAACGAATAAATTCCACTTTTAGTCTTACGAGTATCACACCAGTTCCACAATTGGTCCACGACTTTGACTTAGACCACTTTTGGTACATGACTATTGTGTTTTCGCCCATATATAGTCCTTCCGGCAATAATTCCGGTGGTTAAAATCGTCGGAGAAGGACAACAAATGGTCAAGAAACATTAGTCAAGTACCAAAAGTGGACAAAATGATAGACGTGGACTAAATGTGGAAATGACATAAAACTCGTAGGACTAGTGTGTAGATTGAGATGTCCAAAAAATAGACAATTAACTTTTCTGATACATAAGGTAATCATGAATGCTAAAGAATATTATGAAACAACATAGAAAATTGAACAGAGTGATTGCCCTTTTGCTAAGAGTTATATGAGCAGTCAAAACAGAGAAGGCATCAAACCTTCCAACTCTGCCAGCAATGCGCCCATGAGATTTTGAGGTAAAGTGGTGCGTGTAATGAGCTATTGCCCCAATGGAACTTGTGCCAAGCTGAAGTAGAAAATTAAATAAACAACCCCCTTATTAAATAAAATAAAAGCATGTAAATAATTTTTATGGTATTACTGTAATTGCAGACTGTTTATCTTATCTTTATCTTATCTTTTTTATCATTTTATCTTTCTTATCTTTTTTGCTCTAATTTCATGTGTGGATTCATGTTAGCCGAGCACAAACACTTTTGGGATTAAGCCTTGGATGTTGTTGTACTGTAATTGCAGTCTGTAACTTCAATATGCCATTAAGTTGAGCAAAAAGGACATCAACAACAACAACATCCAAGCCTTAATCCCAAAAGATTTTGGGGTCGGCTAACATGAATCGATCCATGATATCAGTGCTAAAAAGAGAAGAAAGATAAGGGGAAAAACCAAGATAAAATGGATAAAATAAAGATAAATATAAGATAACAATAACATGAGAATATAAAAGACAAAAAGGACATAAAGTGGAAAAATTAACAATCCCCCCTCCCCTGCCTTCTCCTGTCATCACAAAGATATTTCACTGTTCCATTTTCGTCCCTTCCTCAAAGGTAGTCCACCTAAGATATTGAACATATCACTAATTCTTCATTTCCATACATGAACCTAATTATTGTATCTTGGTGTTACTGTGTTACATTATTAGTCTTTTACCACACAAGAACCATCCAAGTAATGTAATTAACTAGACATTAGGGTATATATATACATATATATATATATATATGTACATTTGAGTGGTCACAATGTATTGCACATGTTAGAGGAGAAGGAAATAGAACCTTGATCTTTCCAGCAGCAGACATTTTCTCATCTTTTTTCTGCCAACCAACAGCTACATGTGAGTCTTCACCTAATACAAGCTGGATCTGGAATGTAGAACAAAAAATAAAAATTAAAAGCATTTTAATGAACAGATGAGTAACATGAACTACTAGGCAGAGATTAAAGCACATCCAAGATTTCGTGGCCCAAAAATTAATTGTACCCTCAAAATTTAATGCCTTGTAAAATCATATGTTTCTCTTTACTAATTATATTCGGAATATTAAAAATACATATTGCAGCTAATAAATTAGTAGAAAGTTCATGCTTTAAGAGGCGTATAGAAAAAAATTGCATTCCCATTATACCCCTAGAAAAAACATAGAGAAAATTATCTTTATCGGTTAGTTAGTCAAACTTACAACCTTATACACCCATATGTCTCTTTTAAAAAGATGTGCAGGCTCTAAACAATTATGTAGTAGAAATTTTAACACAAAGAAAAGCTTACATTCCCATTAGCTGTATGTGTAAGTTGACGAGTCCAAGTATTGGAAAGATTAATGGAACCATCTCTTAAAGACACAGCAAGACCCATTGAAGCATTAGAATAAGGAGATAATTGGCTGGTGAGACAAGAGATCAGGGTGGTCAAATGTTGTTTTACTAGACTAAACTTTCAACAAAGAATAAAACAAATTCATCTCACCGAGATGTCTGTACCCCTAATAGGGCCCGCAAACCAGCAGAGGCCATGAACTCAATTGAAGAAACAGATGACATCTGATGCCGAAAGGTAGCAGAAGCAGCACCACCACCAGCATCCCCATTAACTGCTAAATTCCCACCAAGAGAAATTACATTGTGTTTGGATATTTGGGTTTGAATTTCACTGGCCATAGCCATTCTGCAGAAAAAACAGAAGGGATAGTAGAAAACAGAGGTATAATTCAGAAAACAGTACCTTCTGGGTTTAAATAATGATTACATCTTCATATATCCTATTCCCAGATAAAGATAATGATCAATGTATTGCAAAAAGAGATGGAGACATAATTAGGTTGGGATCACTCAACTGGACTGGACCACAATAATGCACAAGGATCAAACCATACTAAAAGATTGAACCTACTCGGTTAGCTATTCTAATTCAAACAATTATAAACTTACATACCTCTCTTTAATATTTCTGTATGGGGACTAAAGTGTGGATAGACGGGTAAGCATGTGAAAAACTGAGAACTTTCGCGAAGGAAGTTTGGTAATCTTCACGTTTATCAAGAGCTAATACAAGGAAAACTTTTTTGTTCAATAAGATTATTTCTTTCTCCCGATTATTAGAATCTATTCTCACACACCTTTTCACCTACTTTTCCTTGGTTTTTATGAAGGCATTCATTTTTCCAACTGTTACAATGTTAGCAGTTAGTACAATAAAGTTCCAACCTCTACTTTGGAGGAAGAAAGAGAGAGGGAGGACTGACAGCCTAATCTTGTCACCCAAAGATGGAAACATTGATAAAATTCTTAATTTGGATGAGATCCCTCAAATGGGTCATAGTGTGCATGGACCAAACCACACTACAACTTTGAACTCAATCGATTAGTTAGTTTAACAGAAGACATCATAAACTCGTATGCCTCTCTTTTAGCATTTTGGAGTGGGACTTTTAAAAAATACCGGAATGCTAAATGTCTGAAAAGTTTATACATTTATACCATTTTTATACACTTTTAGAGTGGCCACGTGGAATCCTAATAATTAAATGAAAAAACTCCACGCATTGGACCTCACCACATTTCCTACAAATGGGGGGGGAAGTAAATGATGAAAATTGAAAATGATTAAATGTAGATATGTGTGTGTACCCTTTCATAAGGCCATCACCCTCTAAAAACTGTGGCAATGACAAATTTGCTAGAACTGAACCAGAAGGTTGGACATGGACAGCAACCTTTTCTAGTTCCTTCCTCCTCCTTAGCCTCTCAATCTCTTCTTTGATTTCTTCAGCTTTGTTCAGGTGGGGGCCGAGTTCCAAACCAGATGTTAATCCCTCCATCCCATAGATGTCATATATTTCCCGCTTTGTTTCATCGCACAAAATCTCATAAGCTTCGCATATCCTTTGGAAATTCTCTGTCGCAATATCCTTCATCTGTGACATCATGAGATTTTACATTTCCTTACTCAAACTAAATTGTAAGCGTAACAAAATAACTCGGATGACATAATAAAGATTACGTGAGATCATTGAAGCAGATGTTCCAATAATCCAAATTCTCTTTTTTATGCAGTTTTTACCTCTCCTAGAATAGTACAGTATAGATTACAAAAAGAAAAAACCTCTTGAAAAAAGCAGCAATGAGCACTTCTAGTCTTCTACAGTGTGTGTAAATGCGTACAACGTTGTAACTATTGAGAGCAAGGTTTATAAAGGCTAGTATGGGTATTGAGGCAGTTTGATTCAGAGAGGTGAGGCTTTAGCCTTGAGGCGTATTGAGGTGAAAGCCTCAAAACACACCAACAAATAAAACATCAAATATTTAAATTACTAAATACCAACTAAAGATACGCATAATTATAAGTCCAAAAAGTCTCAAACACAAACACATTATATTATCACATCATCAAACATGACAATTCAAAATGAGAATTCCAGCAGTCAAACAAACACATCACACAGATAACACAGTTTAGAAAGCTAGAAGCTTAATCACCATATCTTATAGCCTTACCACCATTATCATATTTTATCTTACAACCTTAAGTCCTTAAACACCATCATCCCTTCAATCATTACTAATTTACTATCAAAATCCTCCCATTTTTATTATTGTGCAGGAGTATGAAAATAATTTAACGATTTTCACTTGCCAGACTTGTTTGGGTTTAGAATGTATATGTAGGCACAAGTTTAATGTATGGGCCACCGGCAGTGGCGTCTATAGTGGGAGTTGGGCCAGGCAAATGCCTTGGGCCTCACTTTCCAAAGCCCCCCCCCCCCCCCCCCCCCCCAAAAAAAAAACTACTACTATGTATAATACTACCTCCGTTTCCAAAAGAAAGTCACACTTTGACTTCACAATTGTTAAGGACATAAATTGACTTTAGACACTGTTTAGACACTGTTTGACACTGTTTGGAACAACCAAAAAAGGAAAGTATGACTTTGATTGCGAAACAGAGGGAGTAATTATTATTGATTAATTAATTCAGGGTTTGATTTACCCGCAATAGCTAATTTGGTCTCCAACTCTCCACATCCAGTGAACTAGCGAAGTGGCCAATTGGGCGAACCGCGAACGACAGAACACGGCGCCTGCCTCCTTGCTACTTGCGTTTCCACTTTCCAGAAATCTGACTTGCGAACCAAGAACAGAGAGTCGTTGACCGGCAAATCGGCGAGGAGACTGGACTATCGGAGGCTGTGAGTCTTTTTCTCTTAATTTCTGATTTCTCTAATTTAATTTCTCTCATATTCTCCTAAGTCCTAAATAATGAAATACGTGAAGTAAGTTCTAATTTTCTAAACTCTAAAGATAAAAGCTTTTAAATGGAGTATTACTGTATTAATGAATTATACATTTATACGGCAGTATGGGACTACTGCTACGATGCTCTAAGGCAGAATGGTTAAAGCCTAAAGGCTAAGAATAATTGACTATTTATAATATATATATATGGGCTTATCACATATGGCAGTATGAAACTACTAGTTGATTTGTTTGTTATTATTTTTAATTTTTTACTTGTATTAACTATGAAATATGAATATTGTCATTACGGGTGTCGGGAAAGCGGAAATTTTACTCGGGATGTACAAAGAGAAAGAATAAGCTGAGAAGAGAATTGGTTATACAATCGTTTTCCGGCTCTATGGATCGGCATGTAAAAACTTATCCTTATGAATATTAAAAGTATTATATCGTACCTTTTGAATATGTTTTTTTCATATGGTGTTTTTTATTCAATTTATCTTTTTTCAATATGATTTTAGTGCCGTAAGTATTTTTTCTGTCTAGGGCCTCCGAAATGCTAAAGACACCCCTGGCCACCGGCCATTTATTAAATACTCCCGCCGTCCCAAAAAACTTTGCCAAAGAATTTTGTAAATTCATTTAAAGTAAGAAACATGTAGTTACATTTATTTCTCTCTCGTCTGCATAAATCTCAACCACATAGTTTTTACTATATTATTCCACATGCAAGTCAATTTTGGCCAAGTTTTATGGGACGGCAGAAGTAAGATCTATTGAGCCTTATTTAGTCAAAAACCACATTTAAAAGAAATAAGCAAAGAAAATTCTGCCTCAAAACACGCCTTGAGACGCTTTAGTTTTTGAGGGGCAATCCTCTAATCTTGCAAAATAAAGCTAAGCGCCTAAGCCTCAATACCTAATCTATGTGCCTCATATTGAGGCAAGCCTTATTACCCGCCTCTTAACCGCCTTTTTAAACCATGATTGAGAGGAGATCATTTGCCTCAGGCCTCACCCATGTAGGGTCCCACTTTATTAGTTAGGGGGGGAAAGACTTATATACATGGCAAGACATGGCCGGTGGTGAGGTTTTGGGTACCTGAAACGAACTAGGAAGATGAGATCATTCCTACTGAATGTCTTCATTATTTCATAATAAAATCATTACATTTTTATGCAAAAACATATACTACATATTATAATTAATCAGAATATAATAATAATTACTTCTTACAATTACAGCACTATAAAGGCAATTTTACAGACTGTAGTAGTGAATCTTTAAGATCCACAATTCATAATACATTCATTAAAATTAATTTGAAATGAGCTACAAAACTTTTGTACTTTAGTAACTAACTAACTATTAAACCCAAAAATTGTTTCGCAGTTCCTTCTGCTGTTTTTTTATGGGAGAATAACAATAAATAGCATAAATTTTTCATTGGAGATTCAGGATACAAAAAAGCCACATTTTTTGCTTAGTTGAGGACTTGAGGTGTGTTGATTTTTTAATGACCTCAACTATATATGTCTAAAAGTATTGAGGGCTTACAAGAATTAAAGTTTGGGTACAAGTGCTCAACTTGCACTCGCCTAGGGCCGCACCTAGTTTTTTCAAATACAAGACTCATTCGAGATCACATCTGGTTCCCACTGAAATGATTGAACAAGAGGGAAATACATATAAATATCTTTATGTTCTCTAATATGGCAATACTAGTAGGCTAGTAATATGTTGTACTACTCCTGTCTCAAAAAGAGAGTTATTTGACCAAAGCGCAACTTTTTTATTTTGATATAGGTACAGCGGCTATAGATCGTAATTAATTATACATGCATTCTGTAGTTTATGTGTAGGTTTGGTTATGCAAATTTATATTTTTAAACTTTTTCCTTGGGCAATGATATGAAAAGTAAACTTCTTTGATGAACTATGACCCCTTTTTTGGATCAAGACTCTTTTTTAGGAAGAAAAGAATAATTTTCAAATAATTGTAAGTTATAAATATAATGTGTTCAGTTATACTCTGCAGTCTATAAATAATTATTGGTTTACTAAATTGTTAATAGATGGATGAAGTTATACCGCAACAAGAAGGCTTAACTTTTTTATATTTCTAGACTCAGGCCCCTACAAGTAAGCATGGCTTCATAATAAACACTGGCGTTGTCATACATAGATTTTTTATTTGGGTCTAAAAAGACAATTTGAAAGTTTATACAGTAAGATACGAATCAAATGTTGGAGGGGATGAAGAGAACCTGAGGAGCTTGATATTTATCGGGATGGTAGACATGGGCCAAGTGGCGATAAGCTTTACGAATTTCCTCAGTGGAAGCTTCAGGGGAAATGTTAAGCAGCGCGTATAGTTCTCTTCTGTTGGGTGGTGCACCCTTCTCCTTCATTGCGCTTCTATTGATCAGAGGTTTTCGATTGCTGAATTTGCAGTATGGATTTTTTAAGATGGGATTTTTTTAAGGGGGGTTTTATGGGGGTTTAAGGGTCGATGGGCAAAGATACTCTGGTTTCCTGCTGCGTATCCCTAGCTTCGTGTCCAGGGCTTGATTTTCCTGCCAACGGCTTGAGGGGATTGTTGCTAGGTGAGTTTGAGAGCATGAGATAGGGTTGCTGATAGTGTGCACCAGTCAAAACCGGATCGAACTGGATCACAACCGGAATCAAATTTGCAAACCCGAAATCGAACAGGATATATTCCGGTTTTGATTTGTAACCTGACCGGAAGAACGTATTTCTAAATTATCAATTCAACTAGTTTTCTAGGATTTTGTTGGAAAATATGTATACTGTATGCATATTGATTTGATAAGACTACTTTTTTGTATGAGACATGTTAACATTAGTATATTTACTAAAAGATGCCGAATAAAATTAAAAATGCACGCCCACAAAAGGGTTAGACCATGTTTTCCCAATTTCACAAGAAAAAGTATTGTAAACATAGCGAGAAATGTCTAATACGTATATAAATACTAATGTTTTCTAGGAACTTTGAATCTTTTAATCTTTTTCCGTACAATGCATGTTTTTTTAGGAACTTTGAATTTCAAGTATCCCATTAAGTCTACCTCTAAATATGGATTACGATGAATAGAACATATAGAAATATCTTCTTTAAAAAAACATATGGAAATATGTAGTTCGAATACAATAGGATATAGAGTATTGAGGTGCTTCAAGAAAAAGATAGAGTATTGAGGAAGGGTGCAGAAGCATTTTGGTATTGAACTTTTTTGCTCTGGATTGCAAAAGTTGGTTGCTATAAATTTGGCATTAGCTAAAGATCTAAGTTGTAGAGTTGGTTCAATTCTACCAATCATTTGATATGATTGGAGAAAAGGGCCTAAAAGTAGGGGTGGAAAAAACTGATCCGAAACCCAGAAACCGACCCTTGCCCGACCCGAATGATGTTCCCAGTCCGGGTTTGTTCTTTCTAAATTCTAACAGGCTCGAATGAAAAAAAACCGGACCAAACGCGAAAATTTGGGCTCACAAACGGGCCCTAAAATATATAACCCGGTCCGACCGATAAAAACCCGAAACAATTAGCTTTAGTATAAAATCAATGTAATACTACGTATATGAATATAATTTACAAATAATTCGTAATATATAATTATAACCATTGTGGATTAAAAACTGACTTAAAACTTTTAGTGATTACAAATATGTACAATCTGTACTTCCTCCGTTCTTAAATAAATGCAATGGTCAACATTTCACATTTCAATTAATATATATAATTCCGTATTAGTAAAAAAAATTAAAAAATTAAATTTTGAAAATTTACATGCAATGACACAAATTTAACAATATTTTTTTCATAAAAAAATATCAATACATTAATTAAAAAAACGTATTCAAAGTACAACACGCGAATAGTGTAAAATTCAACATGTTGCATTTATTTAAGAACGGAGGCAGTATACCGTAATGACCATGAAAATATATTTATAGTAATTTTATTCACATTTTTTCGTAAGTTTTTTTCATAATATTTTTAAAAAAAATTATATCTTTCTATGCATCTTAAACAAAATATTAAGATAATTATCTTCTTTAGATTTGAATTTTTGGTGTTTGTGGAGACTAATATTTGTGTAATTATTTACGGTTTGTATTTTTAAATAATTTTTGTTGAGGTTTATTCCTTCAACCCTCGGGTCCAACACGTAAGCCCAAGAGTTTCGAGTGGAGTGTATATGAATAATCTAGCCCAACTAACAATTTAAATGGATTCAGAAACAGTAAGTAGCAAGTAAGTGATTAGGTATTATAAATCTGTTAATAACTCCCCAATACAATACTTTTTGCTAAAGGTTCGTCGGCCGTTCGTCTTACAAGGCAATAGAAGTGCTGCGAGTAAGAAGGCTATAAGCTAGAGTGCTATGAATGGAAAGTTGCTAACCCTTTACAATGAAATAAATGCTGCTATTTATACTACCAATGGGCAGTTGGCTATATTGACGTGGAGGATTGTGAATGGCTGGTGCTCCAACCACCAACTCTTCAGCATTAAATGCGCTTCCCGCCAGGATCTGAGTTTCCCGCCTAATTGGTGGGGACGTTCCTCCAGCTGGGGGAGGTGAGTTGCTCCTGGTGATATCGCAAAGGGCATCGGGCCGTTCGTATCCTGGCCCTTGGATGATTTGCCATGTGGACTGGGTTGCCTCAAGTGGTTATGGGCTTGATCCGGCGACGTTCGTCGCTATCCTTGTGGCCTGTGGGCCTGATTCACTGCCAACTGTGCGGATGTTCGTCTGGATGGGCGGATGAGCCAATCTTGGTTACGACGTCCGTCTTCGCCAATTCCCCTGTTAACCTAGCCCACCCAGAAACTTGTATGGACGAACGCCCGAGTGAGGGGGTAAATGGGCCGGCCCCTGTTTGGGCCATTAACCCAACACAAGTCCCCCACTTCTGATGTTCTGAGCATGCACAGGACATAAAGAAGTATAATGCTCCCCAGGGGTAAGACGCTCATGGCGTGGCACTTGTGTTTGTCGCGTTAGGGAAAGAGGACGTTCCTCCCCGCGACGTGTCTCATTTGATGGCGGTTCAGGAATTGAGGTGACGGCTGCCGCATAACCGGTACATTTTCCGAGGTGAGATCATCATTACATCCCCATTTCACGCGCAGCGCGTGCACTCGGGTACGCTCCTCGCCACGCGGTGTCTTTCTATTGGTTTTCGAATCGGTGCCTCTTCTATAAATACCAGGATTTCTTTTAGGCTTAGGGTTTCCAATTCCTGCTTTCTCGCTCTAGGATCTCTGCTGCTCTGTGCTCAGTTCGTCCACAAGGTCCCTAGCTTGTCTTCGTCGCCCCAAGGTATTATAGGCTTCCTTTCCCCTTTTTGTAAATTTTTCCTGGTCTTCCCCAAACTTCTATGGAAATTTCATCGAGTTCTGGTTCGGGTTCCTCTTCCGGCTCCTCTTCTGGCTCTGAGTCCAGTTCTCGCTCTTCTGAGAATGATAGTACCTCCGGCCGCTCCGGCCTCCCGTTCGTTGCGGGAATGATTGTGCAAGATAATGCTCCCGAGAGCTCTACCTCCGCAAGCACCTCCTCTGCAGACGCAATCCAGGGTGATGCGGTCCCTGGGGAAGGTAGTGGCGATGCCCCCCAAGGAGGAGTGGTCCAGATGGTCGTGGAAGATGCGGCCAAGGAGGAGTGGTCCAGATGGTCGTGGAAGATGCGGCCGCTGATGGTGATCACCCAGCCGACTATGATTCGGGCCTCGAGGCCGTTGATGGTTCCGACGTGGAGGTGTTCGATCTGGGCCTCATGGTTGATGTGGAGCGTCACCTCTGTCCAATAAAGAACGCAATTGGTCATGAGCAATTCTTCTCGGATTCGGCCCTTGAGGTGCTCCGGATCTACTTCCCTGACCCGCGCAGCTACAGCCTCCGAGGTGCGACCCACGTGATGAGGAGACGTCCGGGGATGGTTATGGTGCATTTTGACTCTATCAGGGCCGGACTGCGATTCCCACTGCATCCCTTTTACATCGAATTTTTTTAGCTGCTTCCAAGTGGCCCCAGCGCAGTTCATGCCCAACTCCTACCGCTTTATCTCCTCGTTCCTTGTCCGTTGTAAGGGCGCTGGTGTCACCGCAACCCTGGAATTGTTCCATTTCTTCTTCCGGATCACTCCCCAGAACTCAGACGGGTATCTGAGCGTCGCCATTCGTCCGAAACGGAGGCTCTTCGAGGGAGCGCCGACGTCCATCCATGAATGGAAAAACAAATATTTCTTTGTTCGCTATGCGGACGCTCGTCCGCCGATCCGCTGGAATGGGTATCCTCCGAAGATCGGTTCTCCCAAACTGTCCGACGAGCTGGAGTCGGAAGCCAAGAAGTTGTTAGATGTCGGAATACAAGATGTGGAGGACCTTATTACTTTCGAGAAGCTCGCCGAAGCGGGGATAGGTACCGCCTGAATCTCTGGACTCCCCTTTCCCTTACGTTCGTCTCTGGGATCCGGGCGGTCCTGTCCTCCGAGGTGAGTACTTTAAGGGCTACGCCGCCCGGTGCTAACTCCTTGTGTTTTATCGTTTCAGGTCTTCCTCCAACCGACGCTCAGATGAATCACGCCAAGCTGATGAAGACTCGGAAAGGCAAGGGTGCGGCCGCCGACGCTGCTCTGGCTAAGGCCAAGGCCATCCAGGCCGCTGATTCTAATTCCTCCGCCTCTCAGGCCGATCGACGCACGGTCGAAGCGGAGCAGCACCTTATCGCCACGGTGATGGATCAGGGCGTCCAGGTGCCCCTTGTTGATTCTGGCGTGCCCGACGTGGTGGCGCCCCTGCAGACGGTCCTTCCTCCGGGTGGAGAAAAAGTGAAGGAGAAGAAGACGAAGAGGGCCCGCGAGGCTGGCTCTTCGGCCCCCGTAGAGCAGGATGCAGCCCTTCTCCCCTTGGGACGTCCAGCCCATGACGTTTGGCAAGAAATTGCTTCTCTGGCTGGGGTAGATATGCCGGCCCGGACGTCCTCGGAGGCTACTAACGCTGCTTTAGCCGCCGCTCTTCAGGTAAGACTCTGCCTCATGCTGAGTATCCGATTACAGTTCTGGAGGTCTGTAATCCTAAATTTATGTTCTCTACTTGCATGTTGGGCTCTCTGTGCTGCAGGCTGAGGCTGCGAGGGATGCTGACGCCCTCCAGGCTAAGAATAAAGCGGATGCAGCCCTGAAGAAGGCGCGGGAGACCGCCCGTCTCTTAGAGAAGGATGTGGCAGCCAAGGACAAGGATTTGCAGGCCGCCGGGCAAACGGCTCGTGATTCCTCCGAGCGAGTTGCCGCCTTTGAGAAGGTCGGGTTCAAGCTGGTTCCGGTTCTCCCAGCTCTGAAGGATGAGGCCCCTGAGTGGCTCGTTGATACCTCTGGGTATGAGAATACTGGGGCCTTCATGGTTGCCGCCCAGAGGTATTGTGGTGGCGCATTCGGAGATGTATTCTCAGCCGAGCTCCAGAAGCAGGCGCCAAAAGATCGTCTCAAGTTCGGGGTCCGGGTCTTGGAGAGTGCCCCCTATCTAATAAGTTCCTATACGACGTTGGGGATAATTCCTTCGTCATTGGCTATAACGAGGGGGGGTAAAGGCCACGCTGCCCGTCTTCACTGCTCTGCACGGTCCCAGCTTCAACTTGGCCCAGCATACTACTGATCCCGAGCTGGTCCGAGCTCTGGGCAAGCTGGAGCGGGACGCTCGTCACGAGG